TATATATATATATCAATTGGTTTATATCGAGAAGCATTAATTAATAATCAGAATTTATTTTTTAAAGTATTAGTTTATTAATTAAATGAAAAAAAGAAAAAAAAAATGAAACAATTTGTCAAATGTAGGTTATGTTTGATATATATGATAATAAAAATGTCTACCGATATGTTCCGCCATATTGTTTCGCGATACGGTAAACGTCGAATACAAAAGTGAATTAATATGATTAAGGAGAAATAATCAAATAATCCAGTGGAAACAATTGAAACGAAACGAAATATAATATTTTCGTTTGAAGTATAATAATTAATATAAATCAACATTTATTTCAAAGAATTATATTTCAATTAATTAAATGTAAGCAAAACAACACGATTGCGTTAAATTTGTTTGGTTATGTATTCCGAATGAGCAGACAACACACATTTTAAATTATATTTAAAGTTTTTATTTTAGAATTAAATTAACAATACTTATCGCGTTTCCTTCGATCATAAAATAAACGTAAAATAGAGAAAGAACAAATACAAATGGGAAAGAGAGAGAGATAGAGATAGATGGAAATGGTTTGAGATATTTTTTATCGCCATCAGTGGGCAGAGAGATCAGTGTTTATGGCAATGAGTTGGAGGCGTCGAATGACAAACGTCCTTTCTGTTATCGTTTGGTTATCTATGATCGGATGGAAAGCAGAAACACGACAATGCCAACGTATAATATCCCCTCCTCCCCCCGAACACCCCTCGTCACCAATCCCAGACCACCCCCTTCACTCGTTTTGTCAGCCTGTTTCCGTTTACCACGACTGTAAAATGTCAACCAGAAAACAAACATCATATATATATATATATATATTTTGTTCTGTGCTTGAGGTAGGATCTCAATCGATTTTCGATTACGTTAGAACAACGATGTATGGCAAAATGTAGAAAATACTTTAGACAAAAACCTTGATTTATGATTTTCTATTTGAGTTTTATTTTATTCGTATTTCAAAAGCGAAATATTATATAAACTGATAAAAACACAAATGTTACTATTTCGATGCATTAAATAATATAAAAATAATATCGTTTATTTATCGAAACACTGAAACTCTTCTTAAAACTGTAAACGTAATATACGATAGAGTTTATTAATCGAACGGCCTATAATTATTATTGTTTGTTTAAATCACCGACAAGTCAAAGCTTTTCGATTCCCTATTATTTCAAGTTAAAGCGTCGTAACGATTTGTTGCTTGTAAAGGGTGCTAATTACCCTGGGTGCTTGCATGCATAGATGAACGAACGTTCGGGGTATCCCCCACCCTATAACAATTCATTCCCGTTTTCATATAACTTACCCCCTTTGCCCTACCCCTTCCTCATCCTCCTCCTACCCCTCCTCACACTCCCATCATTATCCTCTAACCCAGTGCCATCATACATCCCTGTTCCTGCTACCCTCACCCCTTACCCCACACCTTTATTTCCTATTCCCAATTCTATGCCCCACCCCCACCCCCTTCCTCTCATTCCTATCACTTCCAATACCTCTACTCAATCTATACGAGTATGTACAGTGATTAATGTTCCGCGTTGGTTCGAAATTGCAACGTTTACGACGTCAACTATCGAGAAATATGAGTTTATTCGTTTTCGGGTTTAGTTAGTTATTTTTCCTAATTTGACGATGACCGATGTATTCCGTTTTGTCAATTTGTTACGCACTTTATTTTTTATTTTCTTCCTTCTTTTTTACCCTCTCACTTTCCTTACGGATAGATATTAACTAACGATCGCGGGGTTATATATCGTTAATTGTTATTATTGTTATTCATTTTTGTCGAATAAATTGATATGATCAAATCGTTTGGATTTATTATATAATTATATATTTGATTTAGAATTGATTTATTTAATTACAGTATACTTTTTACATTCAAATGTTGTTTTAATTTCTTTTCTCTTTTTTTTTATATTTGTCATTCAGAAAAAGTTGATATAAAAATTAATTGTACACGATGGATAAATAGAAAATCTGATATCGATTTAATGTTTAAATATGATTAATGTGATTGATCTATAGAAATAATTATAATTTAATGCGTACACGTGTGTTGTATACAACATATGGGATGTACATATCCCCAATTTTATCCGATAGGCATATATCATCATTTGTGATGATTTATATGC